AAATAAAGCAATAATAAACATCTGTGTGTGTGTAAGTTTTCAATTTCTTTGGGTAAATAGTAAGAAGCATAATTGCTGGATTATACATTAAGGTTATGTTTAGTTGTGTAAGAAACTGCCAAACTGTCCTCCAAAGTGACTGTATCATTTTGCATTCCCACCAATGATTGAATGTTCTTGTTGCTTCACTCCCTTGTCAGCATTTGATGTTGTCAGTGTTCCAGAGTTTGGCTATTCTAGTTGGTGTGTAGTGGTATCTCAGTTTTGTTTTAATTTGCATTTCCATGATGACATACGATGTGAAGCATATTTCCATATGCTTATTTGTCATCTGTATATCTTCTTTGATGATATATCTGTTAAAATGTTTGGCCCATTTTTTAGTCAGATTGTTTATTTTCTTAATCTTAAGTTTTAAGAGTTCTTTATTTTGGATACAAGTTCTTCACCGGATAGTATTTGGAAATATTTTCTTCCTGTCTATGGCTTTTATTCTTATTCTATTGACAATGCTTTTTGCAAAACAGAAGTTTTTGGAGTCATGATGTCCAGCTTATCAATTTTCTCTTTTACGAATCATGCCCTTGGTGTTGTATTTTTTAAAAGATTTTATTTATTTTTAGAGAAAGGGTAAGGGAGAGAGGGAGAGAAACATCAATATCCCTCACGCACCCCCTACTGGGCATGCAACCCAGGCCCATGCCCTAACTGGGAATCAAACTGGTGACCCTTTGGTTCACAGACCATCACTCAATCTACTGAGCCACACCAGCTGGGGCCCTTGGTGTTTTATTTAAAACAATCACTGCATACCCAAGGTCATATAGGTTTTCTTCTCTGTGATCTAGTTTTCTAGTTCTGTGTTTTAAATTTAAGTCTGTGATTTATTCAAAAAAATAAATTTAAGTCTGTGATGAATTTTGAATTATTTTTTGTGAAGGGTATAAGGTCTAGATTCATTTTTTTGCATATAAGTGTTCAGTTGTATAAACACTATTTGTATAAATAACTATCTTTATTATACCTTTACTTCTTTTTCTTAGCAAAGAAAAAGATTTTAGGAGACAAAGAGACCATTTTCATGAACTTTGAGTGGGCAAAGTTTTCTTAAACAGAATATAAAAACCACTAACCATAAAATAAAATTTAATAAAGTATACTATTATGTATTAAGTTTAGGGAATTCTCTGTTCATTAAAAGGCACCATAAGAGGGTTGAAAAGAAAACCACAGACTCAGGCCTGTATAACTGAGTTGGTTTGAGCATTGTCCTGTACACCAAAAGGTCGGGGGTTCAATTCCTGGTCAGGGTGTATATGGGAGGCAACCAATTGATGTCTCTCTGTCTGTATCTCTCTCTCCCTTCTTCCCCTTTCCTTTTTCTCTAAAATCAATAAACATTAAAAAAAAGAAAACCACAGAATTGAAGATATTTTTCATACATATCTGACTGAGGACTCATAGCCTAGGTTATTTTAAAAAAACAAAACAAAAAAGACTACCTGCAGGGACTTCCGCCAAGATGGAGGTATAGGTGGAAACCCTTTGCTTCCTGGCATAACCAAATCTAAAAACAAAGTTTTAACAACAATGAAAGCAATCAAACCACAGAAAATCGAACAATACGGAGTCCGAAAACAACGAACCGCTCAGCTAAACCAGTGAGAGGGGCAAAGCCAGCAGTGGAACGGGTTGGGCAAAAAAGATTCCCCAACCAGCGTGGCACGCAGGCAGCTGGGGGCATGGATCCTAGGTGCAGGGTAGCTATAGGCGGACCCAGGCACAGCGCCGGGTGGCTGTCTGTCTGTGGTCTCGCATTTGTGCGCAGATAAACCCGTGAAGAGACGCGCATTGAGACAGACCATGCAGGCCCCAGTGCAGGGTGGCAGGCTCGCACGTTTGCGCTCAGATGAACAGGCGGGGGCAAGCGGAGAGGCAGACCTGTGAGCGGAGAGGACTGCCTTAGTACCCTCTCTGACTCTGCCCCCACATACAGCATCACAAACCAGCGACCTGGGTGGCCCTGCCCTGGTGAACACCAAAGGTGCCTCTCCTCATATGTAACAGGAACGAACAGATCAAAACATAGCTCAAGAACAACTCAGAGCCCCAGAGCCAATAAATCCAAGCAATGAAGAAATAGCTAAACTTTCAGATGCACAGTTCAAAACACTGGTGACCAGGATGCTCACAGAACTGGTTGATTTTAGTCAGAAATCAGAGGAACATATGAAGGCTAAACTAATTGAAGTGAATGGAAATGCACAGGAAACCAATAGTAATGGAAAGGAAACTGGGACTCAAATCAAGGGAGCAGACCAGAAGAAAGGAAAAAATGACCAAAGAGAAAAATATGAATAAACAAGAATTAAAAAAATGAGAGGCTTAGGAACATCCAGGACATTTTTAAACGCTCCAACATCCGAATTATAGGAGTACCAGAAGGGGAAGAGGAACAGTCACAAGTGCAAACCTTATTTGAACAAATAATAAAGGAGAATTTCCCCAATCTGGCAAAGGAAATAGACTTCCAGGAAATCCAGGAAGCTCAGAGAGTACCAAAGAAGTTGGACCCAAGAAGGAACACACCAAGGCACATCATAATTACATTAACCAAAATTAAAATGAAGGAGAGAATCCTAGAAGCAGCAAGACATAAGGGGACAGTCACCCACAAAGGAGTTTTCATAAGACTGTCAGTGGATTTCTCAAAAGAGACCTTACAGGCAAAAAGGGGCCGGGAAGAAGTATTCCAAGTCATGAAATCCAAAGACCTATATCCAAGATTGCTCTATCCAGCAAAGCTTTCATTTAGAATGGAAGGGCAGATAAAGTGCTTCTCAGATAAGATCAAATTCAAGGAGTTCATCATCACCAAGCCCTTATCATATGAAATGTTAAAGGGACTTACCTAAGAAAAAGAAGATAAAAAAGATGAACAGTGAAAGGACAGCAAACTCACAGTTATCAACAACCACACCTAAAACAAAAGCAAACTAAGAGGGCAGCTAGATCAGGAGTGAACTGTAGAAATGAAGGTCACATGGAGGGTTAGCAACAGAGGAGTGGGAGAAGGAGAAGGGGGGAGAAGGTACAGAAAATAAGTAGCATAGACAGTATATAGAAAATAGATGGGGGGAGGGTAAGAATAGTAGGGGAAATATAGAATCTAAAAAACTTGAGACACGTGTTCATGAACTAAAGGGGGGGAGTGGTGGGGGAGGGGTATGCAAGGTGGAGGTGAATGAAGAGGGGGAAACAGAACAACTGTAATGGCATAATCAATAAAATTTTCAAAAAGACTACCTGCAAATCATAAGGAAAAGACCACCCAGTGGAAATAATAGACAAAAGAGTCAAAGAGTCCATTCTCACAAAAAGATATGGAAGTGGCCAATATACATATAAAGAACTGTTCAACTTCATTAGTCATTAAAACCCCAATGATACATCTGTATTTTATATTAGCAAAGTAGCTGAAATGAAAAAGTACAAGGCCACAATGCAGAACACATGGCAGTGAAAATTGGTACAACCACTTTGGAAAACTGGCAGAATATGCTAAGGCCGAATATTTTTATACCAGTTGGCCTAGGAATTTCACTCCTAGATACATACCTCATAGAATTGTATTCCTATATGTAGTAAGAACCATGTGGCAGAGTCTTTAGAGCATCTCTTTTGGTAATAGCCTCAAACTGGAAAACTACACAAATGCAGGTCAACAGTAGAGTGGATAAATAAATGCATGTATTTACAGTCACACAATGAAATACTATGCAGCAGTGAGAAATACCACAGTACAACAACATAAATTATATTGAGGGGCGAAAATCCACAAAATATTACAATGTGTGATTCCATTTATTTAAATGAAATATATATATTTTTAAAAACAGGCAAAAGTATTCGATGCTATGGGGTATAGTGACTGGAAGAGGTTCAAGGGGATGCTTATGAAGTACTTATTTTTTTTGATTGCTGATTATAAAGGTGTGTTCAGTTTGTGAAGATTTATTGAGCTACATACCTATATTTTGTGTACTTTTCTTCATGCATAAGGTATGTAACTTTAATAAAATTTTTCCCACCCTGGCTGGTGTGGCTCAGTGGATTGAGTGCTTGCCTGCTCAAAGGGTCACCAGTTCGATTCCCAGTCAGGGCACATGCCTGGGTTGCAGGCCAGGTCCCTGGTGGGGGGCGTGAGAGAGACGACCACACATTGATGTTTCTCTCTCTTTCTCTCTTCCTTCTTTATCTAAAAAATAAGTAAATAAAATTAAAAATATAAAAATTTTCCGAAAGTATGTATGTTTTTATAAATAGATAATTTAAAGAATGTATCAGGTAAATTGGGTTTTATAGATATGAGCATGGTGAATGAATAAGCAAATGTTGGAGACATTTGCATAACCTAGCTATGCGTCATTCCATATTATCTTCCTTCTTTTTGGCCATCCCAGTGTCACCCCTCCCACATCCCACCCCTACCTTAAGTCCTTAGTGTCTATCCATGGAGCACACTTTTCTGTGAGGCTGAGGTAGACAAACTCTCAGGCCTGGGCCCTCTTGGTGCTTCTAAGCCATATTTATAGGCTGAAAGTCATTTGAGGCATGTGGCATCTTTCTCATTAACAAATGAGAAAACTGGGGCTTGATGTGACTTGACCAAGGTCACAGACTGGTTAGCTACAGAAATATTATCAAATATACCCAGGGAACTTGATACCCAGAGTGTCCCATGCCAATTTGGAAGGTCTCAAGGAGTCCCTAAATTTACTGTCTCTGTATATCTCACCCACTGTAACATCTAAAGTCCCTCCCATCCTTGTCGAACTATTTTCTCTGGTCCTTTCACAGTTTCCCTGCAGTGGCCTGCCACTGGGGAGGCCCAGAAAGGGGCTGAGATGTTGGGAGAGGAGCAGGCAAGTTAGGTTCTGTGCAACTGCCTCCTGGAGGCCAGCGGGCCCTATTTAATGCTGTACTTATTCCTTCCCCAGGTTCTTCTGAACCTCTTTTGCTGCCATGAAGATTGCAGTTATTGGGCAGAGCCTCTTTGGCCAGGAAGTTTACTCCCAGCTGAGGAAGGAAGGTCATGAGGTCGTAGGCGTGTTCACTGTCCCAGACAAGAATGGGAAGGTGGACCCCCTGGGTGAGTGGTGGTCTAGGAGTAGGGAAATGGGGTGTTCAAGAAAGCAAGTTTTGGTGGATGGGAGCAGAGACTGCAGGATCTTGGGATGGGGCTGTGGGTATCCCTTGGTCAGAGGCAGCCACACATGGTCCACCCTGATCCTGCTCTAGTGCCAACTGGATGCCTGGCCTTTCTGGAACAAGTGGAGACCTCCTCCTCACCCAATTGTGGGGTGAGGTTTGCATCTTAGAGAAGGACCATGGAAAGTCTCCACCTTGCTCCCAGAGCCCCATTGTCTGACTACTCCAGATTTTTCTAACCCTAGTACCTAGGACCTGAAAGAAATGCCAGGCAGGAGTGACTGTATCCTGACCACTAGGAGGTCCTGATACACAGATTGCTGACTCTACTCTGGGAGTTTCTGTTCAGAGGGATGGAATGGAGTCTGAGAATTTGCATTTCTAACATTCCCCAATGATGTTGATGCCCTTGACTGTATAAGGAGCACCATTTGTGAATCACTGGCTAAGCTGGGGACCTCCTCAGCACAGCAAGATGCAGGGGCCCTCAGCTCAGATTCACAGGCTCTCCATGGACACTTATGGATCCTTCTCAGACCTGACAGATATAGCATGTAAGGACCAGGCTTAGGAAATGGGCCTTATGTAGCTAACTAAGGACAAGATTATAATTCATGAGGAAGAGTTGAGTCTCCCAGGACAGCAGTGCAGGCTGACCCTGGACTCAACTCCAGCACCACCCTGATGTCAACCAGGCCTTATTGCTAGATCTGAATCCACTGCGACCCATTACATAGCCTGAACCCAGCCCCTAAGTGACCACTGATACCAGCCCCTGAGCCTGGACCCAGACGAAGCCTGGCTGGGGCTGCTACTTGACCCTACGTCAGATGTCCTGCAGAAGTATTCTTTTGGTCACAGTGGGAATAACTTTTATAAGCACAGTCTGCTCACACTGATCCAAGGCAGAGGCAGAGGGGGATAGAAGGTGGGTCAGGTCTAGTCAGAGGCCAGACATCAGGAGTACTAACAGAATCAAGAACAATGAAGTGTCTGATAGATGATACAAAAGATAAATTGAAGGTACTTGGATAATGACTGCAGAAGGTAACTGCCACCTCTAAGGCTTGGAAAAATCAAGGGAATAAGCTCTAACTTGTAAAACTTGGAATTGTGGGCTGTAATTCAGACCTGTGTGGAGGGTGTGCTGGCCATAGGTGCTGGTAACAGGGCAGGAGGAGGGGCATGAAGGTTAGGACTTGGACTTTGGAGTGCAGGTACCAGCAGGAGGGAGTTGTGTGCACTGAGGCTAGTTCTGCAGATATTGGGAAGACTACAAAGTGACTCAGCTGCTTCTTTGGGATGAAGAAGTAAGGCTGGGGTCATGCCCACAGGACAAAAGCTCACAGAAAGGAGTGAGCCCTTCTTTCTCTCTTATTCTCTCTCCCTCCAACACCCATATTGGCAGTGCTTTTGCAGTTTTCAGGGTCCCAGACTCCACCACAGAGTGAGGAGAAGGGTGGAGATCAGTAACTTGGTGATGGGCATGGTGAAGGTGTTGAGAGTGGCATGAGGGCAAGAGGTCAGCCATAGGGGCTCAGGCAGGAGTCTGGGAGAAGGAGGAGCTCAGTTGTCATGCCTTAACCAAAGTCAGTCCAGAAAGAAACCTCACCCTTGGCGAGTGATGTCCCCTCTGTGCTGCTAGCTTGAAGCTGGCTGGGCACTGAAGAAGGATGAAATGGACAGGACTTGGGAGAAGATGCATGAGTCACTTTGCTGGGAAGGCAGAGGTGGTCATGTGTGGGTGGGTGTGAAAAGGCACCCATTTCTCATTTACTTATTCACTCACTATCCCACAGGCCTGGCAGCCGAGAAGGATGGAGTGCCAGTGTTTAAGTTCTCCCGCTGGAGGGCAGGAGGACAGGCTGTGCCTGACGTGGTGGCAAAATACCAGGCTTTGGGTGCTGAGCTCAATGTCCTGCCCTTCTGCAGCCAGTTCATCCCCATGGAAGTTATCAATGCCCCCCGCCATGGCTCCATTATCTACCACCCGAGTCTGCTCCCCCGACATCGAGGGGCCTCGGCGATCAATTGGTAAGATGGCAAAAACATCACCCTCTGCTTGAATCATCATCTTCCCTTAACCTGGAGCTTTTCTCTGTGGCTGCAGATCAGGCATCATGCAGGTGCCATGCCAGATGGCACCCATATACCAGATTGCTTAAATGTTATCAATCAGAAAGAATGCTCAAGAAAACTGGGAGTTGGCATTGCTAAGCACTCTGTATTCCTACAGTAAACTGCAAAGTGGACAGGGGTCTCAGAAACAGCTGTGAAGGAGTTTGCTGGTGGCCTCACCCAGGAGGCTACCAGGACCACCAACCCAGGTGATGTGCCTTGTGGTCTGCTCTAAAATCTACCTTCTTCCATACTCAGTAGCATCCACTTGGAAAGAGATAAAGATGGATGATGAGAAGTACTAAGAAGACAATAAATGGGTGATGTCTTGAGTGGGTATGGCAGATGGGATGAGTAGTCAGGGTAGGGAGACACTTGAGTTGGTAAAAGAGAGTGGGTTTTCAGTTAAACTGGTCTGATTGAAATTCACACACCAAGATCTCCAGCCATGTGTCTTCACTTTTGTGGACTTCAATTTCCTTTTCTGTAAAAAGAGCATGCCATGCCTGTTACACGAGTTGGAAAGATTAAGTTAAATTGCCAGAGCAGGCATCAATTCTCCCAGGGCTTGAGAGAAACAAGGATGTGTGCTGGAGGATGGCAGAGGCCATCCCCAAGGCATCTTCTGTTGTTTTTCCTGCTATATTCAGGGTTTCATTCTACTTTTCCCTAGGACTCTCATTCATGGAGATAAAAAAGGGGGCTTTACCATCTTCTGGGCAGATGATGGCCTGGACACTGGGGACATTCTGCTCCAGAAAGAGTGTGAGATCCTCCCAGACGACACCGTGAGCACTTTGTATAACCGCTTCCTCTTCCCTGAAGGCATCAGAGGGATGGTAAGGTCTGGGAGATGGCATTGCAACATGTACCTGCTTGGCCTATTTATTCTGGAGACCCTCTTTAGGCCCAGCCTGCCCTTGAAGCTGGCCAGGAATCTACTCCCCAATTCCAGGACTTTGGAAGGAGAGAGCTCTCATTTCATGGTTTTAAAGAGGCAGAATTGGGAAATATAAGATACTGTATTAGGCAGAACTCTTGCTTGCAACTGATAGAACCCAGCAAAAAAAAAACAAAAAAAAAAACACTTTAGCCAGAGGGGAACATTTCGACTCATTTCACAGAGAAGGCTAAAGGCAGGGATGGTTTTCAAGCATGGCTGAATCCAGAGGCTTAAGCCATGTCACTAGGATTCTGTTTCTCTTTTTTTCTTCCTGATTCTTGTTTTTTGTTTGAGTAGTTTCATTCTCAGATTTCCTGTCCTCAAATGAGAGGAAAGATAGTCACTGGTAGCTCAAGGCATATACCTCTGGGTTCCAGGGGAAAAGAAATCCCTTTTGTCCTAGAATTCCTGAATAAAAAAATCAGAGAAGACTGTGATTAGATGATTTGGGAGTCATATGACCACCCTGAGCCAATCACTAACTAGGGTGATAGACTACTCTGGCAAGCCTCACTGCTTCCTGTCCTGGCCTGTTGGGGAAGGAAGGCTCCTCCAGGTGTATCTTATAAACCAAGTGTTCCCCATGAGAGAGGCTTCTGTTACCAGAGGAAGACACAAGAATGACTGAAAAATCAGAGGCACTTGTGCTTGGCACAGCAGTCAGACCCCATGGGACCTGACTCCAAAGGGGTTGGAGTTGTGCAAGGCTGCTGGTGGTCCAGCAGGAGGAGGCCAGCTAGTGATGACTAAAGGCAGACACATTTCAGCTTTTCACCCATTCCAGAATCAGGCAGGAGTCAGACAAGAGGAGGCCTCCAGGAGGAGATCATTTGGTATTTTGAAGTAGCATTAATCATAACAATGAGGTAAAAGTACTCACTGCTACCCAAATGTCAGCTGTTCCATTGCCCTCAGCCAGTCTGGTCTGCTGCCACCTTTTTTTTTTTTAGGTGTGTTAATTGCCTCTTTGTATTCTTTGCCATGCAAATTAAACTTGCTGGAGATTTGATATGACAATGGAAGACATTATCTTGAATATCTCGCAGGAAACAATTAAAAATACCCTTTAAGGCTGTGCTATCTAATAGTTACCTGAGGCTACTAAAATAAAATGAATTCTAATTAAAGATTGACTTCCTCAGTCTCACTAACTACAAGTCAAGTCCCTAAGAACTACACATGGCTGATGGCCACCGTATTGGACAGTACAGACATAGAATGTATTCATCACCACAGAACATTCCACTGGGCAGTACTTTTTAGGCATTTCTCATACTCCCATCACTTTTAGTCTCGCTGTCTTGGGGGCTCTTCTCCCAGCCCCTTCCTCACCACAAGTCCACCTTTCTTGGCAGCCCTCCCCACCTGCCCTGATTCCTTCTCCCACAATCTTTCTTTCCTTTAACAGAGAGACTACTCCCTGCTTAATCTCAGATCTCCAAAACCATCATGACATTTCATTTTTCTTACCAGGCAGGGAAGGTTTTAGATAAAAAACATGGAATTTTTTTCAATTGCACTGTCTTTGGTTATATTTTGCTACTGACAAAATAAGCTATAAGCTATATAACAAAATTTACTATAAGCTATATTTAGCTTGTTTGTTTTGTTGATTAGGTTCCCGTTAAGGGTGAGATCATATGGTATTTGTCTTTCACTGCCTGGCATATTTCACTTAGCATAATACTCTCCAGTTCCATCCATGCTGTTGTAAAGGATAGGAGCTCCTTTCTTTCTGCTGCATAGAATTCCATAGAAATTGAGAACAGGGGCTGACATTGACCAGAGGGAAGAGGGGAGAGGAGAGAGGATTATAGGGGGAAAGGGTAAAGGGTTTACAGAAAGGACACATGGAAAATAGCAAGGGGGCGTGGAAACAGGGGAGGGAAGTGGGGCGTATTGGGATGGTGGTGAAGGGTGGGGGGGGAGGCAGAAAACTACTTGAACAACAATAAAAAATGTTCAAGAAAACATGGAAATTTGTATGTGTGTATGTGTGTGTGTTCTATATAATCTTCTAAAACCTTGTGTAGTAGAGAGGGTGGGGTTTTGTGCCCCTTATACAGATTGGAATTGTGTTAGGACTAGCACTATCTCTTCATATAGGAGATATTTCTAGGGTGGTGGTTGTGTGCCAGGCATGTATGATTAGTGTGGGGCAGGGTCCAGACTCTGTGAACCCAGGGGATGAACGTTCTAATGCTGGGAATACCAACTAATCTGGACCTTCCCAGGTGCAGGCTGTGAGGCTGATTGCTGAGGGCAAAGCCCCCAGACTCCCTCAGCCTGAGGAAGGAGCTACGTACGAGGGTATTCAGAAAAAGGAAACAGCCAAGGTGAGTACCAGGGCTCTGCCCACCCTGAAACCTGTCCGTGCTTGGGCTGGAGTGTGGAAGGTATCTTGGGGAGGCTGAGGTTCTGGCTGGGCAATTAGGTTGTAATTGTTTAAGGCTGGAAGAGAGGGCTTCCCAGGCTGGGGAAGAATAAGCAAAGCTATGGATGGGGGAAGGCAAGTGGCACCCAGACAGTCAGGGAACAGTGTCCTTTTTAGGTTTTTTCCTGATTCTCTTCAGGAGAAATGCACAAGCAATGTTCCCAGAAAGAACTCTGTGTGTGTGTGTGTGTGTGTGTGTGTGTGTGTGTGTGTGAGTGAGAGTGAGAGAGAGAGAGAGAGAGAGAGAGAACTCAGCTCTAGTGCCAGAAGTCTCTAAGATGAGGGAGGAGAGGTAATTCAGTTCCTCAAAGCTGTCACAAGTAGTAGAGTCTTGGGTGCTGTATCTCTGCTCAGAGGTGATTTGTGGGGATCTGTTTGAGTCCTGTAGGCCAGGAGAAACAGTTGGCAGAGCACTATGGGATGGGCCTGCACTTTGTGTTGGAACTCTGTGTAAGGCCTTGTCCATCTTAACAATGGAACATTATCTTCCCCAAACCATCAGTTTGGGTTGTGTTTACTCAGTCTATGAAAGTCTTGAGGGTCAGAGAGTACCCAGAGCATGGGTACCAAGAAGAGACCCACCCAGTTCAGGGACTCAAACTAGTGTCTAAGAAGCCAGACTTCCCAGCTTTTTTTTCCCCAGGCTTTATCTACTGTCAGGGGTTATCAGGGCTGAAAGGGAGGGCAGAGGTGTTACCCAGATGGTCAGGGAGTAGAGACAGATTTGTTGAGCATACATATCCTGCCCCACAGATCAACTGGGAGCAGCCAGCAGAGGCCATTCATAATTGGATCCGTGGAAACGACAAGGTGCCAGGTGCCTGGACAGAGGCTTGTGGGCAGGTGTGTTCATGCATGGCTGGGATTGAGCTAGATCCACTTCTGTGCACGCTGGCTGCAAAACTGGTTGGAAAATAGCCACTGCTCTGAGCTCCAGTCCCACCCAAGTTCCCATAGCCATTTCAGTCCCTCCTCTAGGACCAGGAGACCATCATCTGGTGGCGGACGGGTAAAGGGACTGCACAACTCAAGGCCTTCTGGCCCTGCATCAAGTCTGGATTGAGCTGCATTGCTTGTAAAATATTTTGAATCTCACCCCTGGGCTCATGGAGACCTCAGGCCAACCTCTGCTTCTACTTGCCTCCAGGGGTAGGGAAAGCATGCTCAGGCCAGGGGCTGGGCATGAGGCAAGCCATGGCTCTCTGAGGCATCAGGGTCTGGCAAGACTGTGAGAAGGGGACTTTGTCTGTAGCCCATGGAAAGTTCCTTCACAAAGTCCCAGGCTGTCCAAACCCCTTATCAGTGACCAACTGCTGAGACTGTGTCCAGGAGTCCCTGACACAGTCCCTGATGCCTTTGCCATCGTAAGACCCTCTGCAAAGTGACCAGTGCTTAGTGGCATCACTAGGGCAGGTGTCCTCACTTTGTAGTGCCTTGAGCAGATTTCTGCCCAATCTTTCTATCTGAAATCTGAGGCTGGGGGCAACACAAAGGGTCATAGGGGCACAGAGGGCTTAAGGGCTCCAGAGGCCTCAAAATCTTCTCCAGGCCTTGCTTGTGCCCCTGGAGGCAGAGTCCTAGGCCCACATTGTACTGCCCTCTGCTCCACGTCATATTCATAGCCCTGCCTAGACTTCCAATGATGGGGACCTCTCCTCATTCACCACTTTCTGGTTTTTCTGTCCTGTTTCCAAACAGAAAGTGACGCTTTTCAACTCAACGCTGAACACTACAGGCCTGGTGCCAGAGGGAGAAGCTTTGCCCATCCCAGAAGCCCACCGTCCAGGGGTGGTCACCAAAGAGGGATTGGTCCTCTTTGGGAATGATAACAGAATGGTAACAATGTTCTTGTAGGTTACATGTCCCTACTATAGTCTCAAGGCCAGACAGACTGCTGTCCAGGGTTTCTGGCACAGCAATCAGACTCCAGCTGCTCTGGAGAAAACAGAAGATAAGATGGCAGTCTCTAGGTGTCCACAGTCACCCCTGACCACTGAAGTCTGTCCACTTTCCTGTTTCAGGAAGACTAATTTCTTGTTCTTTTGGATCAAATGTCCCAGCCAGAGCTGAGTGTCCTGTGAGGGTGTCAGAATTAGGGGAAAACCCTCTCCAAGGAGCCCTGAACTTGGGGCCTTGTGCCCCAAGACACTTGCACAGAGTGTGCAAGTGTCACTAGGTGTGGTCATTGAACCTCTGTGCCTCAGTTTAATTCTTTTTTTCTATTTATTTATTTATTTATTTATTTATTTATTTAGGTTATTTATTTGTTGTTCAAGTACAGTTTTCTGTCTTTTACTCCCATCCCAGCCCACCCCCCCTAATTCTCTTTAAAGGTCTCTGGAATCATGATAGGTACACGACATGCTCTGATTCGTATTGGTAGACTCTGCAACTCGGAAACAGCTAATATTTATGGAGCACTTTCTGTGTGCTGGACACAGTTTTTAAAAATTTATGTGTATTAAATTCTCTCAAGAACTCAATGAAATATATATTGATATTTTACCCATTTTACAGAGGAGGTAACTAAAACACAGATTTTTAAAAACCTGCCTAAAGTCACCCAGCCCAGTTTTTGGGAGAGCAGGTATTCAAACTCTAAAATTCTGACTCTGAGGCCTACCAGTTGGCCACAATACTCTACTATTAATGCTCACTGCTTGCAGTGGTTAGACAGGTTGGGACCTTAAGATACCAGGGGGCAAGGAAGAAAGAGGACAGGCAGGGAACTGAAAACTTTAGGGAATTTCAACAACCCCTGAAGCTAGGGGATGTTGAACCCTTAGCTTCATCTGTGCGTACAGACCAGATGGAGTGCGGCACTGCTTTGCTTGGGATTTGTGTAAGCTCACTGTGCGTCCCCACCCTGCCATGCTCTGCCATCAGAGAGCCTGAGACTGCCATCAGTGTCTGTGATTTACAGCAGTTGGGTGTTTTAGGTATTCATGATTGACAAGTGCAGTTGGAAGACTAGGCTTATCTAGGATCAGGTTCCCTAGAAGCAGCTTCTCAGATGGGAGATCCTGTGTATGTGATTTATGGAGGGACTACTTTTGAAAAATCATGTACCACTCAGGGATCAGGCTAGGACAGAGGGTTCTAGCCTTAATTAGGGCAGGCTCACCCTAGCTGGTGTAGTCAGTGGCTTGAGTGTGGGCCTGTGAACCAAAGGGTCACTGATTTAATTCCTAGTCAGTGCACGTTCCTGGGTTGTGGGCCAGGTCCCCAGTTTGGGGCACATGAGAGGCAACTACACATTGATGTGTCTCTCCCTCTCTCCTTCTCTTCCCCTATCTCTAAAAATAAATTAAAAAATACTTAAAATATCTTTTCTTAAAAAAGGTCAGGGCAGGCTCTGCAGTGTTATTAGTATCTGTAGATTATGTCCTGGTATTTTCGAGTTACTCAGCCCTTGGTTAGTAGGGTGAGGGACAATGAGGCATAGCCCCTGGGCCTCTGGGCACAGCTGTGCTTACCAGCGAACATAGAGGATAGTGTGCAGAAGTAGGTCACTAATAGCCCACCATTACAGCAGCTGGAGGATTGTGGCCCCAGCCCATCTGGGCCCTGTTGTGGGGCAGGGGCACCGACGCCATCCCCTGTGATATCCACAAGGATAGCAAAACAAAGAAGGCAGCCTTGGAGATCCTTGGTTGAACCATCTCCATCTTCTGGGAATTTCCAGCTGGGCTTGGCAAGGTTTCAGATCACAGAAAGCTCCAGAACATCTTCAAAAAGCAGCAGGCTGGGATCAGGCAGGAAACCTGGCACCAGTTCTGTTAGGGCATGTATAGAACATGCTATTCTTATAAATAGATCTCTTATCAAACAGATGTCCTGTTATATTCATGGGTACATGTATTCCTCTTGTTCCCGTGGGATTTTGGGGAGCTGGGCTATTGCTGCATAATTCTTTTTTCAGTTGTCTTTGAAATTAGTACTTGAATTATTTGTCTAATGAGTGGGCATCAATTTAATAGATATAATAAAGTCATTACACATAAAAAGAAAATCAGAGCACAGTGGGGTGGGTGATAGGGAAAAGTGAGCATGAGCTCTACAGTTTCCTCTGTGTCCCTAAAACTACAGCTTCCCCACTCTGAACTATTTTCTTCATCTTTTATCTGAGACTCCCTACGCCTTTACTGCTGTGATGGTTGGAGACGAAGCACAGTGCTCTTTGTAGAATTGCTTCCTTCCCTGCCATAAAGGCAATCACAGGCACTGTAAAATCTTTTCTTGTGCAGCTGCTGGTGAAGAACATCCAGCTGGAAGATGGTAAGATGATCCCAGCCTCAAACTTCTTCAGGGGAGAAGACAACACTGCCCTTGAGCTGACAGAGGCAGAGCTGGTCACCATGGAGGCTGTGCGGGTAAGAGACCACTTCAGGGCTACTGTGTGGTTGTGCACTGCTCATAGGTTTTTTGAATCACATTCCCTGGAGTCAAGCTGTGCACACTCTCTGCGATTGTATATGCTGGCTCTAGGCACAGTGTTCTACCCCATTTTGGGCTTTCTATGTCCTCTTGCCCCTCTTCCCTCTAGCACTGGGACCCTGACTCTTCTAGGGACTCATTGTCAACAGTGCACAAATGAAACAGAAGCTAGCTGAAAAAGCCACGTGCCAAGACCAAGGTCCTATGAATATGTGCACTGAAACCTTCCAAAGAGACTTCCCTAGAGGGAGTACTCTGTGATGTGACCAGCCTAGGTGTTACAGTCAAGTAGACTCTATTCCAGCTCCCTCCTTATGATGCTAAGCAGTGCTTCTCTCTCTGAGAATCAGTCTCTTCCACCTGAGACCAGTAGGTGGTCACTTTCCAAAATAGTTTTGGATCTTTCTAATCTCCCGACCCATCACCCTCACCCTCACCCTGGGAGTCATGATATTGGTAATAGACTTATTTAATAGATGTTGGATAATTTTCAGACATTTCACTCATTAAATTATATATTTAATTATATATATATATATATATATATATATATATATATATATATATATATATATATATAAAATTAATCCTGTGATGGGAGGAGGCAGGCCAATCAGGAGGCCACATTGGTGAGTGTGGATGTTGACAAGTGCAGACTGCAGGATTCAGCAGGGGAGGGACACAAGGACATCAGGAATGTTCTCAGTCGAAAGCTGAATATTTGAATGTCTGTTTAAAAAAAGGAAAGAAAGAAAAGCCTGTTCATTCAAAAAATATTCTTGGAGCAATTGTTATGGCCTTGGCCCTAAACCTGTCCTGGAGTTACAGGGACAGCTGGACAAACTGGCCTTCTGGATCTTATAGCTGAGTGGCTCTCAGAGTGGGATGAGATTGTGTGTTTATAGAGGTAGGCCTGAGCCAAAAGCTGCTATACCTGAGTCCATCTGTGAAATGGAAAGAATAAAACCTGCCTCTGTGGATGCTGTGAAAAGTAGAGAAGAGAATACATATGAAAAAGGTCAATTTAGTAGTACTAATTAGAATCTCAGAAAATATTGTTAATGAGCCTAACAGTCATCAAAAGAATCAGATACTTCTAGAGTGTGTGTGTAGTATTCCAAACATTTCAGGAATAATAGAGTATTTAAGTACTACAACTTTATGAAATTGGTGCTTTTATTACCTTCATTTCCCAGCTGAGGAATCTAAATTGAGGCAGAGTCATGGCTAATGAGGAGAGTGCTCAGGCTGGTGTCCTCATCTCCACTGTTACCCATATGGCCTCTTGATCATTAGCATTGCTGCCATTGTGCCTAATGGTCAGAGCTAGGCTGGGCCCTCTTAAGCTGTGTGGTCTGGAGGTAAACTAGGTGGAGGGGAGATGGCCAGGGAGGAGAGGCCAGTGTGGGGACAGCTGCAGTTCCACAGTATTGGTGGAGAGGGTTTGACCTGGTGGCCATAGCAGGGGTCAGCCCATGTTCCTCATTTAACGGAGTTCACCAGGCATCCATCATGGACTGAGGCAAGCCATGGACAACCAAGCCCAGCATCACACCCTCCTGAACTGAAGCTGTGCATGTGGCACAAACGCTATGTGTACTTTGCTCCTCTGTACTCCAAGAGCTTTACCTGCCTCATGCAAGTGATCCTCCCATTGTGTTATCAGCCCCTGGCAGATGAGGAAGCAGAGGCACTAACATGCTGCCTGCATCCAGGATCAAGCCAGGATCTAAAGGAACCTTTGTGGCTTTGAGGTACACTGCCTTTCATAGGTTCAACATGCATCCAATAAGGGCTAGTGCATCTAGCAGGCACCAAGTAGTGGTATGCTCACATACTAGTAGGTGACTGGTGGCCCCAGGGAACATGAACCTGAGGAAGGTAGCCACTGCCAACGGAGCCATCAGGAAAGGTTTCAGGGAAGAGGTGATGCAGAAGTTGGCTCTGAAGGATGCCTGTGATTTAAATGTGAGTTGGGGGTTCAGGGAAAGCTGTTGCCAGGGGGCAAGGGCTTAGGTGGAGGTGTGAAGGCCAGGCAGCAGTTGTGTGGGGACAGGAAGTGACTCATTGTCACTGCTGATGGTCACACTGAGGGTGGGAAAGGTAAATCCAGGAGACCTTCCAAGAAGGAAAAAGGGGAGCCAGGAAGTGGTTGGGCTACGGGTGATAGGGGTCTGGTCATAACTGGGCCTGCCTACTCCCCATCAGTGACCAGTCATGGCCTGGAGCTCAGATGGAGTATGAGACCTCTCCTGGCTCCTGTCCTGAGGTCTGGCTGAGAGCCTGTTGAGGAAACAGTCATTCCATCCTGACCTTCCAGGCAACCCTCTTGGTAGACTGGCTGGATGCTGCATTCTCCATGCTCACCCACAAGGCTGCCTGGTGGGCACTGCTGCTCTCCACAGGTCCAGAGACAGAAGGCACAGAGCCAGCTATCCTGTCAGTAAGAACAAGGCTCAGGCCTCCTGAGCCCATCCATTTGCCTTGTTTTACCCTCAAAACTACCTCCATTTTGCTCTCTTCCACCCTGTAGCAGCCCCACACCTTGTCATGCTGAGGATATCCAAATCTAGACAACAGCACCAGGGTGAGAACAGAGTAAGGAGGGGGTACAGCTCAGGAAGATCTGGGCCCTGCCTTTCTTGTCCCCAGCCATGCCCTCAGCTTACCATGTCCACCCTGCTACCACTGCTGGACTGCCATAAGGGTACCAGTCCGTGGGGTCAACGTGAGGTAGGAATGAGAGCAGCAGCAGTTGAGTGGTTTGGGTTGTGACAGCTTCTCCTTCCCCTGGGAGTAGTCAGTCCAGGACCTTCAGGTTCCTCAAAGCAACTGTATCTTGGAGTGGACCAAGAGCCAAGCCAGATACCAGGCCATCCATGTACACATCAGGGGCTGCTCTCACCCAGCTGACACCTGCTCCCAGCTTCCCTAGGAGCTGTATTCTCACTCTACCTCTTTTTTCAGACTGTCTGGAAACGTATTCTCCCCAACATCCTGGAAGTAGAAGACTCTACTGATTTTTTCAAGTCAGGGGCTGCATCTGTGGATGTTGTAAGGTAAGGCCAGGAGTGAAGGAGTCCCATCCCAGGTGTCTGAGGCGGTGTCACCCATCAGCCCAAACTTTAACGTCCAGAAACCACCACCATTTGTTATGCTCATGATTATGCAAGTAATCCAGAAAGGGCCCATTAATGCAGGCCTGGCAAGCCACCTTGAATAGGCTACAGGTCAGTGGATTGTCAGGAGCTGGGACAGCTGAGTAGGTATGTACTACTGCTAGCTGGCTTCTCACCATCATGCCTGATACCTGGGCAGGGAAGGCTAGCAGCTGCTTTGTGGGCACCCCTGACCAGACACTTGCATGTGGCAACTTGGGCACTTGGACTCTGTAGCTGCTCACAGTGCTGAGAATGAGAGTGTCAGCCAACAAGGCAGGTGTGGTATCGTTATTCATCATCCAGCCTGGAAAATCTCATCACATCACTTCCACTGACTTGATTGGTGTCAGCAGTCGCAAGCCTATCCTGGTTCACGGGAAAAGGTATGGAGCTAAGGCCCACCCCTCAGTGGGAAAAGTATCAACTAATATGTGGCTCTGGTTTAAAACTGCCAGTGAAAGCCAATGCATGCAGAGGAAGAGGGGAACAGGCAGGTAGAGCCTAAGCAGATGAATCTAACCTTATAAGTCTTCCCGTCAGGTATATATTGGGGGTGAAGGAATTATGAATGTAGTATTTAAAAAATGGAGGTATAACTTTATGTACATTGAAATGCATAAAACTTTTAACAGTTTGGTAAGCTACAGTTTAACTTGTAAACCCACACAAGCTATATTATATATAATATATAGATTATATTATATATTACATATATAACTTAAGTTATATCTTTTTTAATTTTTTAAAAAGATTTTATTTATTTATCTTTAGAGGGGAAGGGAAGGAGAGAGGGAGAGAAATATCAATGTATGGTTGCCTCTTGTGTGTCCCCTGCCGGGAACTGGCCTGCAACCCAGACATGTGCCCTGACTGGGAATCAAACCACGATACTCTGGTTCACAGGCCTGAGCTCATTCCACTGAGCTACACCAGCCAGGGCTAACTTAAGTTATATTTTAATCAAAATAGACACCAGCCTCAGCCCAGGAGGTTCCCTCCTACTCCTTGCTAGTCAGTGGCCCCTGGCCGATGAACAATCTATCACCATAGATTGGTTTAACATTTCTTCAACTTCCTATGAATTTCCCTGCTTGCCATTTAACAGTGCATAGAGAAGGATGTGGAATGTATTAGAACATCTTTGCTTATAATCAATAGTAACTTAATTTAGGCTGGTTTAAGCAAAAAAGCCAAAAAATAAAAGTTCAGAAATCTATAATAGCTTTCTTTAGACATAGCTGACTACTCTAATGGCTCAAATTATGTCATTAAATTTGTCACCATCTGTTGCTTTATTTGGGGGCAAGATTTTTTTTCTCATAGTGATAAGCACAGTAGCTCTGGTCAAATTTCTGGTCTTTTAACTTTCCCATTGAAGCGGGAGGTTACCTCCTCAGCAGTTTTCACATAAATCCTTGACTTGAATTTAGTGGCTGTGGGGGAGTCATGAACCAGTCATACGCCACGGGGAGGCATGCTCTAACTGGCCTAAGCTTGGACATGTGCCTACCTCTGGAGCCAAGGGTTGAGTTGACTAATTCAACCCACATCTCTGAAAAGAGGCAGATGGCTGTTCCCTTGGAAAATACCAATGTTCCCAGGAGCAGGAGAACTGGGTGCCAAGAAGGCAGAAACAAAGATGTCTACCAAAAGTGGGGAGAGATTTCTTGTACTTCAACTGGGTTCACTTAAGTGTCTGCAGTCAGCTGTAAGCTGGGTGCTTTAGGTTGGCCCCTTCAGCAGCATAACCCAGGCTTGTTCCAGCAGTGGTAGTTAGGTGGTGGTAGGGTCCTAGAAAAAGGAACAGAATGAACACATCACCTCCGTGTATTCTGTTGGCCAGAGCAAGTCAAATGGCCAGCCCAGCTTCAAATGGTGGGGAAATGGACTCTTCCTCGTAATGGCAGTCCCAGGTTTGCAACATATATAAAAGGGCTGAATTGGGCCTGTGTACTTAGAAATCTTGGACACCATTAGTCCTTTGTATTCTGACTTATTTGTATGGTGTAAAGTACACAAAACATGTTTTGTTAAAAATAATGTTTAGTAAAAGAGTTTCCGACACCTGGGAGAATGATGTTCAGAGGCCAAGCCAGGCTTTCCTAGTGCTTCTGAGCTGAGGTTGATGGAGAATGCAGAGAAAATTAAGTCTTTTTGTTTGTTTTCTAAATAGTTAAGAGCATATGTCCTTTTGTTTTTATTAACTACAAAAACAATGATGTATAGTAGATCTCTCGAACTTTTTCATGTTTTATGACTAATACTTTATACCCATTGAACAGCAACTCTCCATTTTACCCTCCTCCCAGACCTTGGCAACCATCCTTCTTTAGATGCCTTATGTAAGTGGAATCATGCAGTATTTATCCTCCTGTGACTGGCTTATTTCACTTATGTGTGATATCCTCTAGGTTTACCATGTTGTGGCATGTAATAGGATTTTCTTCATTTTTTAATTTTTAATTTTATTTTTTAATATATTTTATTGATTATGCCATTACAGTTGTTCTATTTCCCCCTTAATTCCCCTCCACCCTGCACACCCCTCCCCCACCATTCCCCTCCTTTAGTTTATGACCACGTGTCTCAAGTTCTTTAGATTTTATATTTCCCGTACTATTCTTGCCCTCCCCCTATCTATTTTCTACCTACCATCTATGCTACTTATTTTCTGTACCTTCTCCCCCTTCTCCTTCACAACACCCATTTATAATAAAAACACTCAGCAAAGTGGGAATAGAGGGAGCATTTCTCAATATAATAAAGGCCATATATGAGAGACCTACAGCCAACATCATACTCAATGGGCAAAAACTAAAAGCTTTTCCACTACGATCAGGAACAAGACAAGGATGTCCACTTTCACCACTTCTATTCAATATAGAATTGGAAGTTTTAGCCACAGTGATCAGGCAAGAAAAGGAAATAAAAGGCATCCAAATAGGAAAGGAGGAAGCAAAACTGTCACTGTTTGCAGATGACATGATAGTGGACATGGAAAATCCTATAGACGCCACCCAAAAAATGCTGGAACTAATTAATGAATTTGGCAAAACAGCTGGTTACAAAGTCAGTATCCTGAAATCAAAGGCATTTTTGTATACCAACAATGAATCAGCAGAAGCAGATATCAAGGAAAAAATCCCATTCGATATAGTGAAAAGAAAAATAAAATATCTGGGAATAAACCTAACCAAGGAGGTAAAAGACCTGTATGCAGAAAACTACACAGCACTGAAGAAAGAAATCAGGGAAGACACAAACAAATGGAAACATATTCCTTGTACATGGATTGGAAGAATTAACATCATCAAAATGTCCATACTACCCAAAGCAATATACAGATTCAATGCAATACCTATTAAAGTACCAATGGCATATTTCACAGACATAGAACAAACACTTCAAAAATTTATATGGAACCATAAACGACCCGAATAGCAGCTGCACATTTGAGAAGAAGAACAAAGTAGGAGGGATCACAATACCTGATATCAAACTGTATTACAGGGCCACTGTAATCAAAACAGCCTGGTACTAGCATAAAAACAGGCACATAGACCAATGGAACAGAATGGAGAGCCCAGAAATCAACCCAACTCTCTACAGTCAATTAATATTCGACAAAGGGGGCAGTAACATAAAATGGAGTAAAGATAGCCTCTTCAGCAAATGGTGTTGGGAGAACTGGACAGCTACATGCACAAAAATGAAACTTGAGCACCAACTTACACCATACACCAAAATAAATTCAAGGTGGATAAAAGACTTAAATATAAGCCATGGCACCATTAAAGTCCTAGAGGAGAACATTGGCAAGAAAATCTCAGATATTTCACGCAGCAAAATTTTTATTGTTATGTCCCCTAGAGCAAGGAATATAAAGGAAAAAATAGACAAATGGGATCTCATCAAAATAAAAAGCTTCTGCGTGGCTAAAGAAAACAGTATTAAAGTAAAAAGACAACCAACTGTATGGGAAAACATATTTGCCAATGATACCTCAGACAAAGGTTTAATCTCCAAAATATACAAAGAACTTACAGGACTCCACTCTAAGAAGACAACCAACCCAATTAAAAAATGGGAAAAGGACTTGAACAGACACTTCTCCAAGGAGCACATACAGAATATCCAGAGACACATGAAGAGATGCTCAATATCGTTAGCTATCAGAGAGATGCAAATTAAAACCACAATGAGATACCACTTTACACCAGTCAGGATGGCTATCATAAACAAAGCAACAAACAACAAATGTTGGAGAGGGTGTGGGGAAAAGAGGTCCTTAGTTCACTGTTGGTAGGATTGCAGACTAGTACAACCATTATAAAAAACAGTATGGAATTTTCTCAGAAAAATAAAAATCGACCTGCCTTTTGACCCAGCAATTCCACTGCTGGGATTATATCCTAAGAATCCTAAAACATCCATTTCAAAGTACCTATGTACCACAATGTTCATAGCAGCACAATTTACAATAGCCAAGAGTTGGAAGCAACCTAGGTGCCCATCAGTAAATGAATGGATGAAAAAATGTGGTACATATACACAATGGAATTCTATGCAGCAGAGAGAAAGAAGGAGCTACTACCCTTTGCAACAACATGGATGGAACTGAAAAGCATTATGCTGAGTGAAATGGGCCAGGTGTCAAAAGACAAATACCATATGATCTCACCTTTAACAGGAAGCTAAACAACAAAACAAACAAGCAAGCAGAAAAAAAAAAACAACAAAGACACTGAAATAGAGAACAAGGGGATAGTGACCAGAGGGGGAGAAGGAAGGGAAGTTAAGGGGAAAAAGGGGGAGGGATTTGGAGGAACAAATAGGAAGGACACAGGGATGAGAACTAAGGGGGGTGGAAAAGGGAGGGAGGTGGGGAGCAAGGGGCG